TTGTTGTGTGATTGGCATTGGATGGTGGAAACGAGGAAATAACCGAATTTTTATAGGTTGGAAAAGGTGGGAAGGGAGAAAAATCTGATCTTTATTTCCTGTAGAGTTTTTTTGTTTTTAAATAATCTTTACCAAGGCCATATTATTCTTTCAAAAGTTAGGTCATCTAAAAATATTCATGCCAATTGCAAAATCTTGGATGCTTACTTGCAAGAAGCCATGTCAAAAGGTAGCAAACCGGGCTAGTTTATTGGTATCATGCAGTTTGAACTTGAGAATGTAGGAAGGGAATTAAATTAAGGCACCTTTTTGTTCCAAGACTATCTCTTTTAAGGTGGAAAATGAATGGATATAAACTCATTTGTTTATGATGATGAATAGAGCTTGTGGTTGCTTATTATAGATAATGTCTGTTGCTATGTGTAATTATTATACAGATTCTATTTTTCAAAAAATACCAGTTGTTGTTTAATAGTCAAGTAAAATGGTTCACTGGGTGTGTATGCGAATTCCTTTTGATTGCATCTTCTCTTCGTTGTTTCATTGCGTTGATACTTTGGCATAGAATAAATTGATTAAGAAAATTCTTCATGTTATTTACAGTTGGGCACAGATTTTTTTTTTTTTTTTAAATGAAGTTGTTCTGTACCATTGTTCGAGATCAAGGCTTATTTCCATTTTTCAGTCAATAGAATGAATTAATTTAAACACCTCTGTGGAAGCATGGCCCTAAGTCAAGCAAAGTGGAGAAAAATGACTTATGTTACACCCAATCTTTTTTGAATTAAAGGATAGTTGATTTTGGTTGTGTTAATTAGGTGCATATAATGTATGGACCCTCCAGTTTGAGCAATATATATGATGTTTTGGCAAATCTTGATGACATTTCTTATCCTTATTCTTTAGGTTATTGAATAGGTTAACTGTTTTGCCTTTGGACAGATCTGGAATCCCTACCAAATATTCTACAAAAGAAGTATGCATTGATCTGTGATCTGGACAAAAGTTTGCAAGGTATCCTTTAAAGAGACACCTATTGCTTTGTAAATGCTCTCTTCATTTCTTTGTTACCATAATTCTATTGTTAGTTTTCTGCTGCATCTAGTGGTATAGGTGAAAATTCCAAATATCCAGAGTAAAATGGTCTTTTCTAGATGCTTTTATTGTTGTGTGACTTATGGTCTTTGTTTTGAGTTCAGTTATTGAGCTGATATTTTTTTGCAATACCTGCCCCAAGAACCCCAGGTTTATGGGGCTGTGTAAACTTGTGATGCCATGTTAGCATCTAGTTATGAAGCACTTTTTTCCCTTTTGTTTTCTATTTTATATGTAAAGATAAAGTTATGGTTATTGTAACGTACCTGGCTTTGTTGTCTATTTTGGCTTTGCTTCCTGTTTCTACTATCCTGTTTTCACTTGTGGCCTTAACCACTTTTTTGTGTTTTGTATATGAACTGAAATTGTGAGACAAAATGAACAACGTTGTGAACAAGAAATAGAGGATATCAAGAATGGTGTCAGGGCTGGAAATATTACACCAGATACTTCACTTATTAGATTCTCAGATGAAGCACTAGATGAGCAAAAGCATAGCATCAGGGTTGCAGATGAAAAAGTTGCCTTGGCTGTTCAAGCTTGCGATTGGGTCTGTTGATTCTCCTTGTGACTTCAATATTTAACTTATGGACTTATATCTTTGATGTTATTCTCAGTAAATGTGATTTACAATGCTTGTTGTTGTATGATATTTGGCTTTTATTGTTTTTTTTTTTTTTTTTCCTGTTTTTTTTAGTTTGCAATTGTCATCCCTTTTTTCCTGGACAGTGCTTTACTTGACACTATCAGATTCTTTTAGCATTTGCCATCTAAGGTGTGGGCGGGATTTTGTCTAGCTTTTGCCAAGGCACATTATATTTTAAGGTCAAAAGTTGTGGGAATTACGATGTTCTGTCTGTATAGTATTATTTTATGGCTACTTTTGTTTTGGTATTTCATAATTGGACTGGTAATCAATGAGTCACAGTTAATTATATTTTTAATTGATCCTTTTTCTTCCATTGTAAGGATGAATGATCGTGTTTGTGATTGCATTTATCTGTTATTTTGGTTTTCCTTTCCCCTATGGTAAAACTTTTAGCACAAAGCATTTTAAGATTTTGTTGCTGAAGGACATTTCATAAATCTCATCTTTGGAGAATTTTCTTCATCATGAATGTTCTCCTTGTCCTACTTGCTTCTATGCCTGGTGCCACCAAAAATGCAGTGAGCTAGTTCAATTTAGTTGCAAAATTTAAAGATCTTAATTTTGGACCCAGGTCTACATTATGTGGAATTGTGGATTGGGATCAATCTCCTTTGCACGGTTATCATTCAATACTCTGACTGTTTGTGATGTAATCATGATTTGGGTAGATACACACATACAACAGCTTGATCAATATTGGAAAAGATTGATGAAGAGCTCCGGCGTGGTGTGTTACTAATTTTCATTTTCCCTCTTCAAATACACCTTTTATCAGTTCTGAAATATCTCCACCTTGGTTAGATTTTGACCTTGGAATATATGTGGATGGTTTTTGACAGAAAGAGAGAATGCTGCTGCTGCTGTTTTGCCTGCTGCAAGTCTTGATGGCAGTGCGAAATCTGGAAGTAGTGAAGGTGGAAGGGGAGGGCGTAAAAAGTATCCACTCATCCTAGATATCCTTATATATGGTTTCCTTATAGATTGCTTAAACTTGTTTTTGTTAGTTGTTATTGTGCTGTTGATTCTTGCTTTCGCTTTCCTGAGGAAGTCATTTTCTCTATTACTTGTGCAATTTGTCTGAGATCACCCCACAATTGAACTGATCTGAAGTGGATCAAGTGATTTTGTCTAGTTCTATATGGAACCATAGTTTATCACAGTTCCAAAATTTTGTGATCCAGTTTGGTCTGGATCAAAATTGGTTCTGAGCCATGAGTGATCTAAACCACACCATGTGACTTAGACAATATTCTCTTGTTTTTCTCCCAGCAGCAGAAAGCTTGGCTTGAAAAATAAAGTCCTTATTCATGCACACTGGACATGCTTCTCTGGTATACCCATGACAAATTTTGAACCATGACATTTGCTTGAATGCTCCTATGGTGCAGAACACGCCTGGCAACAGCAATGGCAGCAGCAGCGGCAGAAACAGAAGTAGCAGCAGCTGCTGCTGCTAATCTAACTGGCATGGAGCTAGATTTACCAGTGGATCCAAATGAGCCTACATACTGTTTCTGCAACCAAGTCAGCTTTGGTGAGATGGTGGCATGCAATAACCCTGATGTATGTAACCAAGTTTATTGTTTATCTCTCTTGAAAAGTATCTTTTGCCTTGTTTTCTAAATTTATCTGATACTCAAGTCTTTGCTTCTTTCAGCAGTCCAAGATAGACTGGTTTCATTTTGGATGTGTTGGTCTTAAAGAACAACCAAAAGGAAAATGGTATTGTTCGGACTGTGCTGCTGCAAAAAATAGCTGCAAAGCAGATGATGCTTGATGAGTTGAATTTATATATATATTAATGTGAAATTTTTGCTTTGATATTATTAATATTTGGATAAATTTTATGAGATTTTACATGATTTTCATTCTTTGTGCAGAAAGACTTGAATGCATAAAAATAAGAGTTTTTGGAATTAATTGAACATCTTTTGAAAGTTGAGGGACTGAATTACAAGAATAATGGCGCTTCTTTGCGACCTAAATGAATGAATCTTGAGTTGTGGGATCTAAGTGCTCATCGTACAAAAGCTGGAGGACCAAATCTGGTATCAACACATAATCGGGGTGTCGACACCCTCCATTAAGCGTTCAAAATTAGATTTTTTGTTTCTTATTTTGTGTTGACACGTAATTTGAGATATCAGCACCATTCAGTCATCGTCCAAAATTCAACTTTCCTATCATGTTTTAAGTTTTACTTCTATTCAATTAAGGTTTCTAAAATTTTATAAATACTAATCCAAATTTAGAATTAAAAGAGTCAGATGAGGGGTGGAAGCTTTTTTTTTGGGCATTTTCGAAGGTCAAAATAGAGAATCCATCAACAATAGAAGATCAAAGATTTCAATTACCTCAAATTAGGTTACTTTAAATTAGGTTTTGTTTTTCCTTATATATTATTATATTCATAATTGTAATTTCATATTTATTATTTTTATTATGAATTAATTTATTTTATTAAGGTTATGATGTAACTTAATTAATTTAATATAGATTTTGTGATTTTTATACTTTTAATTAAAGTTATTTGCATGATAAGTTTATATTATTGAACTTAATGCATTAGAAGTTTGATCATCTTTCAATTGATTTAGTGATTTATGCATGAACTTGAAAAAGAATTGTGTAAATTAAACCAATAATAATATACACAGTGTGTTAGACTATGAGACTGAGAGGTAATTAGTTCATATGTGGTACTGGAGAAAGAGAAGAAAGTTAGGAGCTCATCTTTCTTAAACTAGAGGTTTTCATAGAATTTAATGCTCATTAATTTGTTTAAAATTACATAAAAATATGATTAATTTAACAAACAAGTTAATGATTAACTTGATTTGAGAAAGTTAGTTAATTAATGTTATTTTAATTAAAGTTCTTTCTTTTCGATTGTTCAAATAAATTTAGATTAATTATTTTGATACTTAATTATACACAATTTTCGTGAGTTTGACATTCTTCTCATTATTATTACTTTGAGCGACTAGTACACTTAGTAAGGTGATTTTAGTTTATCAATGCTGAATTTTTATTTATACAACCTTGATGTCTAAGTTTATGTTTTGCAATGACCGTAGTATGTCGTCAACTTTTATCATATCGTTGTGTTATTTCATGTTGCAGGAACTTCTATGGGTATATTTAAGATCTGTTAGTATTTCAATTGTATACTTGTATGACTTTATTTAAAAGGATTTTGCAGGAATATTAGAAGACTCCTTCAGTAAATAAAATCATATTTCTCCCTACCAGAGATTTTTGCATTTATGCGGACACTATGGATTCTATTTTCCTTCTGGATTTATTAAGCGTGTTCAATTCATGGCTCGATTTGTTCGTGGATTTTTTTTTTTAATTAAAATTTTTTTTAAAAATTGAAAAACAACAAGAAGAGGAAGAAATCCACCAAAAAATAAAAATTCACA